CTGCTCCTCCTCTCAGTGGAGCATCCTTTCTACCCTGCTCCTCCTCTGTGAATTGGAGAAAACACAACCCATTCTCTGCTGTTGCCCAGAGCGTTCGTTATATGAATCAGGACAAATGAAGGAAATGACGCAGCAGGAAAATGATGATTCTGTTTCCCCCTTGTAATCTATTTGGAATCTTCTAGGTTCTTTGGCAATCATGCACCTGATAAGGTTAGAAACTGTTTGGAAAAATTTTCTAATTATTTGTATACTGGAATTCAACATCTGTTAAGAGAAGGGAATTAAAATTTAAAAAAAAAATTCCACCCCTGTACCTTTCCACATGTTTCTTTCCTTTCATCTGGGTTGTTGGAAACCAGAAGTCCCCTTACTTATAGCTACAAGTGATTACAAACAGTAATTTGGAAAAATGTAGTAACAAGAAGTAACTGGAGGTAGCAGAACACTATAATTTAAAACTACAGTTGAACTCTTCCAAAACTAGAGAACATTGCTAAGGGCAATATACAAATGATTTTTTTTTTCTTAAATGCAGCACTAAAACCACTTGAAAAAGCCAACCTTTCACCGTGGCTGTTCAGACGGCTTGCTAACATCAACATATTAAGTAGTCAAAAGCCATTTATTCTGGAGATCACAATGTTTCAAGTATCATATTTCATTTGTAAAAATGCATATAAAAACCATTTTTATAAAAATAGATCTAATTCTGTGTACCCAAGAGAAACCTACCATATTTGGCCTATTAAGCTATGGAAGGCCCATTTGAAATGCTACCTGCCAATTACTACATATAAAAGATAATTAAGAAACACTGGTGCTCTGAGAAGTCTCTTCCAGCTCTCTGTGGTTTAGTCTTTCTAATCATAAAACTAGTTTTTTTTTTAAAAAAAATTCTGGAAAATACTAGTGCTTATTTGGGGGAACAAAACAGTAAGACTGTTTTATTTAGAATATAATTTGTAACTATAAGTTGGTGTCATCTGTGCATTAAAAGTCACCACAAAAATCTCCAGTAGGTAAGCTGAAATAAAAAAATAACCTGCCAATAATCTGCACTGTATGGGGGATTCTTGAATCTCTGGTGGCCCAGTCCCCTCTCTAACTGTGATATCACTCTGTGTTGTACAGGGTTGAGGTAGCCTAGGGGAGGAATCTTGAGAACAGTAATCAGCACTGTGCAAGCTTCCTAAGCTGCTGTGAACATTTACTAATGTCCTCAGAGAACCATCAAGTGCCAGAGAACTCACGGGGTACTGTCACACCATAGTGCTGTGTGTCACTGATCAATAGCTTCCGCTTTAGCTCATTCAGCCCGACTCCGACAGGACCTGAAACAGAAGGCAGCAGAGACTGAGAATGGGAGTCTAATCCACTGTTTCTAGAAGTCTAGTTAAGCTATACATATGAGAAGGATTGGCTTTCTAGAGTTGCTTCAAAAAAGTTTATATGCTTACCTTTTTTTTCCCCCAGAAAACTTAAAATAAAGCATACTAAATAACGGCTGAATATATTAACCAATTAATCCATATACAATCACCTAAAATTGCACTCAACAGTCCTGAATGATCACTTTGTTCTAAAAATATTTTTTAGATTTCAATAAAAGAAAATCATTGGCTAGAGATTTTTTTAACCAAGAAAATTTCAGGCTAGAGAATCTGAAAGCTGCTGCAGGCCTTAACACATTTAAATCAGCCAAATGCACACACAGAGAACATATAATGAGCAAGGCAAATGACATGTGCCATGACAACGAAAGATGGCAGATGCACACTGCATTTAAAGAAAATGGCTAGTCAGGGTGGAGATTGGGAGTAAACAAGCAAACTGCCCAAAGAGTGGCTGTGAACACTATCCTGGACCCAAACGTCAGGAAGTGGTCAGCTGCACAGCTGGTGTCCCTTCCTTGTGCTTGGGGTCTACTGTACAGAGACGTAGTTAGAGCACAGGCCCACAGCCAGCCTTCCCTGTGCTAGGTCCCAACTTGCTCCGATCCAAACTTCTCTTCCTAGGATACTGGAGGTGACCTCCTGTCCCACCCCTGCTCCACCCCCACTTCACCCCAACCATCTCCGCCCCAGGAAGATCAGAACTCAGTATAGCACAGAAATTGACTGAGCATTCCTCTGCCTTCCCCTTTCTCCTCTGTGGGCAAAAAGACTTGTAGGAAAGGGATACTGATGAGCTTGCAGGCACACAGAGACAAGGCCAGCAAAGTGGGAACGGCGAGTTAAGGGGATGGTGGGAGGAGAGGGGAAGGGGCAGGCCTGGGTACCATACCTTCCTTCTCACTGGCACATCTGCCTTCACCCTGTCCCATGACTGCCCTCTACCTTTACTACATGGCTGTCAGGAGCCTGTTTCTCTGTCAATGTTCCTTTGTTCTCGAAGACTCCATGAGAACTCAATGATATGCTCAAGTGACATTCAGTTACTATAACTTACTAGAATATACAGTTCCTCTCTCCAAATGAATCTGCTTCCCTAGCACCAGCGAAACAACGAAAAGAAAAGAATGCAGTTTCTAACAACACAACTTTGGCATGACCAGAAGGAAAACAAACAACTAAGTCAGATGTCTGCATTCACTTAGTAGCTCAGATTTAAGAGCTCCAGAACCACAGTGTACAAACAAGCACAGAAACAAAAAGGCCCACAGGTACAGGGGGAGTAAACACCAGCATTTGGATAGAAACCATGATCAGGTTTACCTGAACATGGAGTCTCATGGGTCTGCTACAGGGGTGACCTCCTTGAAGTTGTGTTAAAGGCTTGGATGGCAGCTCATGTGACTGCATCACGAGGGCTCTGGCTTGGTCGATGGTTGAATGGTGATGGCTGAATGGTGGAATCCAGGTAGGAAGACATACCTTGAGCTTAGAGTCTCTCTCCAATTCATTCTGCCTTTTGGCCACCATGATTTGCCCAGTATCCTCCCACCTACCACGTCCTTCCACTCTGGTGCTTCTGCATTGCCAGGAGCCTCCCAGCAATGGAGTCAGCAGGCCATGCCTGGCACCACTTAAAACAGTGAGCCTGGCTAATCATTTTAAGCTGTTTACTCAGGCATTTGGCTTTAGTGACAAAGGTGACTAACATAATGAGAAAGAGGGAGGTGACCTTAACTGACAAAAGGACAACAGGTCAAGTGAAGCAAAGTGACATAATAGAAGCAATTGGGCTTGACCTTACAAGCAGCAGGAGAACATTAACCTGAGCAATGGACGCACATCCAATGCCACAGAAGGCTGGGTTCCAGCCCTACCTTAACTTTTGGAGTACCAAGTTCATGGTTTCCTATACTTTCCCACTTCAAAAGGCTTACCACACTAGTTACACATACCTGCTTATTTGCTGTGATCCCCTAACAGACTGTGAGGTCCGTGAATACAGAGACATCTCCTGCCTCACTCATCTACTATTTCCACAGCTAGCAAATCACAGACATTTGTGTCTATTTCGTGTTACCAAAGCTAGAGCCCAGGGTCTCACACATTCGAGGCAAGTGTGCTACCAGCATGCCCCATCATCAGGGCCCGGATCATTCATTTGAATTTCATGCAATGTGTGGTACTATGGGGGTAAAACATAAGTGAACTATGGGCAGTGAAGTTGAGGTTAAACAGCATCTGCACCTAGGTCATGTGGACATGGTGGTCAGATTCAGAGACACACTGAATGTGACTCAGTTCAGCAAAAGCAGAATAGGTGATGGGTGCCATTAGGTGCAGTAAGTTCCAGGAAGGAACTCTAGTTTCCTGCATCCTGATAAGGGTCACAGCACACTAAGGAAGGGAGGGCTGAGATTTTTGTGTGTATATGCAGAGATAAAACCTGATACTAGGAGAAGCTCTTTATGGAGAAGGACAAGCAGATGCGCACTCTGAAGGTATCTCTAAAATCCTATGGATTCCATCTACCTTAAGGTACAACAATAATATAAGCATATTCTTGAAAAGAAAAAGGCATTTCAATGGAGTACCATTGTGTGTACCTTCCATGTACAGATGAAGTGAACCCAGCTACTTATGTCACACCAAAGTACCCCAATACTAAAGCATACAGGGCCTACTCCATGAAAGAAAGTGGTGGAAAATTGATTTTTTCCCCATGCCTCCCAGCCCTAAAGTTCTTCCTAGAAGGAAAGACTCTTTAAGGAGACACAGAGGTCTCTTATTCCCTACCCTATCCAAATCACAAACAAACAAAGAACAACAAACACCCCTCACCCCCAGCCTCTAAGACCAATGATTTATTTTAACTCAGGAGAAAAAACTGTATGTCTGACTTAGTAGGGAAAGCTATGACAAGTCCAGGATGACACCCTCAACTGCCAATCACACTTGCTTTCAATCCCACCTGACAGCTAAGGATGTCACCCTCACAAATCAGTTGCACTACGCAGCTAAGAAGCCATGCCCACTCACACCAGGCATGAACAGAGGAAAAAAATTTCATCTGAATTTCCTTAGATTTAGATTTTTCTAGACTATGACCTGCAAAGGTAGACTTAGTCTCATAAAACAGCCAAAGGAAGGACAGAATTCAAATTACCTTTATTTATAAAACTGCTCATCGGATGCACACAAGGCAACTTCCCTGTGGGACTTCTGCTCACTCTGCACCCATGCTGGGGAAGAATGCCAGTCTCTTATTGACTCCAAAAAATAAAAACAGAAACAAAACCCACATTCACATCTGTGGTCCGTAACCCTGCTCATGAGTAGGTACCATCACATCAGTGTTAGCTTTATATTTAGAACACATGATCTATGTTCAAGCAATGGAGGGATATGAACACTCATACACATGCCTCTGCAAAGATCTGCTGTGTCCTTCAGCACATAAACCTTTACCAAACTTGGTGAAATGTGCTTATTTGTATATAAGTAGATGGCTTTATAGTTTGCTTTCAATGGTTCTTGCTAATGAGGAAATGGATGGAGGTTTATGCTGATACTCTACAGCTCACAGGTCTTTAGTTTGATGGGGTCTCTAATCGGGGGGATGGCTTTCAGCAGCAGGCATCTGTAACACAGGTCATCAGGAACCCTCAACATATCTGTCAAAGTAGCACCCCCTATTACAGAGAAGACAGCTAGGATAACACCTGAGACCAGATGTCTTTTCTAAAGGGTGGACTTGGAATGTGGCAGCCAGGTTATTCCAAAGCTCCTATGACTTACCAGTCTACATTTTCCAACTCTGTCTACACACCCATCAAAACAATATGGATGAAACAGGAAGTCAGGTTCTGTGCTGCCTACAGCAATGGCTTCCAGTGTCCTGGGCTTCTTTAAGCCTTTCTAGAACCCATACATTCAACAGTGATTGTTTAAGCTTGAAGCTACGAAAACTGGCATAGGCAATATCTACTGACCTCTCAACCAACATTCCAAGGACACTGTGAGACATCCTGGGAAGGCTAAAATAACCCTAAGTGTGTACCAGACCTGGACAGCCTGGATGCACATCAGGACACATCTCTTCCAAGTTTTTTCACTTAGGATTAAGGAAAATCAACCACGATGACGACGGTGCCAGTAAAAGCCCGAAAGCACACTGAACACAGTTTAGTTTATTAATTTGGAATTGAGACGGTAAACTGAGGTTGATGCACCTTCTAGTTTTAAAAAGAAAGAGAGAGTTCACAATCAAACCAGAAATACCATTCTCCAGATGCTTCTTAATAGAAACAGTCTCTCCTAGAGGGAGGACCAAAGTTCACAGGATTAGGGGATGTCACGAAATGGAAAATCCCCAGGAAGCCCAGAAAGTTGTTCAATTCATAGTCCCCCCCCCCCCCCCCCGTTAGATAAGCAGGACAGAACTGCTGTAGGGAGGAAACTCTCGGTGGAGCGGTCTGTGCTGGGTAGAGAGCTCCAGGCACCAAGCCTTCCTAAGTCATCATTCATGCTGGGTGGGACCTGTCAGTGATGCAGCTGACTCCAAGTCACCTATACCCTTGTAAATAACCCCAATAACTCACTGATGAGCTCTGCCAGATTTGTATGGAGTTGTTTCTGTGGTGTGCTTGCACACCACAGGTGTGTCCTACCTGGGGTGAATACATGTTTGTTCATGTCACCCAGGAAAACTTACAGAACAAATGTAAATTAATTATATGCTTCATTTTAAAACCATTTCACAGGGCTTGGGATAGAAATCAGTGATATAGCAATAGACTAGTATACTCAATGCTACAAATTCAATCCCCAATATACTAAATAAAGAAACAGGGACTGGAAAGATGGCTCAGTGATTAAGAGCACAGAGAACCTGGGTTTGGTTCTCAGCACCTACATAGAAGCTCATACCAACCTGTAAC